TTCTTTATTGTTTCAAATCATTTACATTATAAGAGTAAGTCTTCCTCAAGTAGCCGGCTTGTTTCTGCTGGTGACTTGGGGCTAATCTGGATACCTGTAAAAGAATGAAAAAAATCTATAAGTTAAATTCAAATTATCATCTCAGAGTTCAACTCAAACGTTTTCTGGTCCATATGTATCACTGTGATGCCAGCTCATCGAATGAAATTCTATGTTACAGGTGGCCAGCATCAAGTCCAGGCATATCCCTATGGACAAGAACCAGCATCACTTCCTATTTTACTAAGACTGTACCATACAAATAAAATAAATAGCAGCATTACTGTAAGTGACACTCTGATGATTTACCTCTCTCACTTCCCTCCACTAAAATCGACACACGACTACATATATTAGGATCAAGAAACCGCATATATGGAGGTAGCATAGAGACAGTACAGATATGACAAGAAACCCCCCAATGGAAACAAATACCAAATTAAACTTTTACCAAACATGACTCTACCAGAACGTATTGATATTTTTTTGGTAACATTACATAAAATAAAAAGTCAAAACTTACCAGATTCATTCCTGTGATCCTGAGAAAGAGGCCGATTTCTCATGCTGTGTGTGTGCTGTGACGCCAACTCAGCATACATTGGGTGACAGCTAACGGCTGCTGGGCCTGGGCTGATGTCGAGCACAGATGCAACTATTGGACGTGTCGGTTGTAGCTACAACTGTGTGGCTACAAACAGGGGCGTCTTTGTGAGGTGGGCCCCCGGATGGGCGTGTGGCCAGGCCGTCAGTCTCACATAGCTGCTTGGCGGGTTGGCCTATCCAGCGCGTCGCAGGCTCGCTCTCTGTGTGAGCGCTGTAGGGGGGGGGGGGGGGCACAAAGGCACTTTGCGACACAGGACCCTCACAGGCGAAAACTGATAAAAGCAAGGATATGCATATCCACAATCTGTTTAATAATAGAAAGTATCATTTAAATACGCAATAATAATAATAATACTAAAATCAGACAATATGCAAATTTTCATGTTTTTTGAGATTATGTTAAAAATAATGTGCAAAATATATTAAACTTCATACAAAAATGCATAGTTTTAAAAGCCTGAATCAGCACACATTTACACCACTCAACTAAGACAACAACATCTGCAGTTTAGCACTGATGCTTTCAACTTTCAAACTTTAATGGAGTTTTTTTTTTAATACACAGGTTGGGGGTGTGGGGGGCTTCTTTGTCTGGCTCTTCATGTGAGACCAATCTGGTAAGAGAAGCTCCAGCCAGCGCAGCTTTCACAATCAACAGAGCAGGAGTACACATTACATGTGAATCCATCCTCAATCCCTCTCACGTCGAAAACGTTCTGCCCCCCATAGAGAGGGAAATTTTTAATGTGAGTTAAGGGTGAAAGTTTCAGAAATAATTGATAACTGTTCAGGCAAATTGAAAAAACAAACAAAAAAAAACCTTCGACAAACATCAGTTTGAGGTCCAAGATAATTTTATAGATACTTTGCCTCAAAAGTGTTCTATTATTTCTGAAGTTTTCATCCCCATCTCACATTAAAAATCTAAGATGAGATCAATAAGGAGAAAATTGTTTTCTCTTATTTCTTTTTTTAGTAACATTGTGTACCTCACGTACAAAACGACTTGTTCATTAAGGACAATGAGCCGTAGCCAAAGGCAACCATCACATCACCAATAAGAGCACAATACACAACAGTGCACCATAGTCATACGCAAAACATGAAATTTCCAATGAGTACGAAACACGTCACATAACTACTAAGAGTTTTCATTCACAAAGTCTCCTGAGCAGGTATTTCTCAGTTATTTTTTAGGGAAAAAGTTTGGAATACCAGAATTCTGCAAAAAAAGGAATTCAGAACAATTGTCACTCCTCAGAAAAACTGAAAACCATCAAGATGAAGTCAGATTGCTGCAATGTTAAAAAGCAGTGGAAATCCAGCAATAATACAGTAGAACTGAACAGCCCCGAACAGTTCTACAGCAAACTCGAATGCTGGATCTCTACTTCTCTTATTATGAGGTTCTGAGTTCTCTACCCAGTGAGAAATCGGTGATCTATTACACCGAGATTTGACATCTATCGAGGGAATGTTCCAGAGCTCTGCAAAATCGCATTTTCGACCGACCGAGCCGACCGGGCCGCGGTCGGTACCGACCGGCTGCATGGTGAGAGGTGAGGAGAGGAGCTCCCTGGATGTCTCCCCTCCTCACCTCTCACCTTGCAGCCGGTCGGTACCGACCGTGGCCCGGTCGGCTCGGTCGGTCGAAAACGGCGATTTTGCAGAGCTCTGGAATGTTCCCTCGATTGATGAAGAAACTTGGTCGAATAGATCATTGATTTCTCACTGGGTAGATGATGTGTATCCAGTTTCAATCAGTGTACAAAGATTTACCGGGAGTAAAATCTAATTACTGATCCCCCATTTGCAGACTTCTGGTGATCAAAATTTTTTCCACAAAAAGTAACTGAGAAATTCCTGCTCCGGAGACTTTGTGAACAAAATCTCTGGTTAGATCTATGAACCTCATTTGCTCTTCATGACTAAGGAGGAGCAAGGAATTCACAACCCGAGCGAGTAATAAGATTTAAGAAATCTTGCAATAAAAATCAAATGTGATATTGTATCCCATTGACCCCATGCTGATCTCATGGATAGAGCAGCTTAAAATGACATGGCTGCTTGATCCATGGTATAACCATGGGGTCTATGGGATACAGAATCACAATTGAGTTTCATTGCAAAATTACTTAGCTCTTATTACCGGCTAAGGTTGTTTATTTCTTGCTCCTCCGTACTCATAAAGAGAAAATAAGATTCATACGATTTAACCGCCGTCAATGGGGCTGTGTCAGAAGAGATAGAATTTTACCACCGAAAATAAACAGAACCAAAACTAGGTCATATTGCTGTCAAATTGATCTTAATGTGGGGTTTCTTAGTCTGGTCCCTCAAATGAAACCAATCTGGCATGAGAACCTCTAGGCCAGCATAGCTTTCAGAATCACTGGAACAGGAACCAGGGCATGGCTCCATTCGCAATCCTTCTCACGAGCGTAAACGTGATACCCCACTTAGAGAAGGTTTTCTTGTATGAGATGTAATGTCTGACTGCATTCAAATGCTGATCTAGAAAGCAAAATAAAAATACAGACATAAAGATCTCATGAACCAGACATTGGTTTTTGAATAAATATTTATTATATTATACTTACCAATTATATTCATAACAATAACTCGTCCAAACTGTTCTCCAGCACGTTTTATCACTGCACTTCATCTTAAATGATGCAAATGATGAAGAATGTGGAATGGAAGACAGACTTCTGACAGCAGATAGACTTGCCCCTACACAATACCTAAACCAACAGAAATAAAGTCATAGAAAAATAAAAGAGTTCAAAAGCGGAGTAACCGCCAGTTACTAAACTTACCGAGAATGTACACCAAGGTTTTGTTCGCCACTTTAATCAAAGTTGAGACGACTCAACTTCACATTTCTTCACATTTATCAGGGTCACGGGTCACATGGTTTCATCAGCTGTTGTGCATCCTCTCCTCCTGCCTAGAGTTTGAGCAGTATGAGAGAAGTGGAGATAGCGGTCCTATAGATTTTTCATTAATTTTGCTTGTATTTGTTTGTTTACATTTATCTCGGCAGCAGAAGCCAAAAACTTAGCTGAAAACTTTAGAGTTAAAACTTCAGATGAACCATGATAAACCGATGAAACATGTGCCAGTCAGGACAGGACAGTAATCCTAAGGTGTAGCGCAATTTTCCTGCATAGTTGCAATGGGAGCATTTATGGTGGTTAAGATGTTGCAATTCTTGTTGGACTACAATGATGTATAAGAGTTACCCCATGTTTCCTCATTTTAAACTCTTCCTTCTTTGTCTATTTTTCTGTGCAAGCTTTTTAAGCTTTTCTTTATATTTATTGCACCATGGCAGTATCTACTTTATCGTAAGTATAGCTTGTATCGAAATTTATTTCTTCGTCAACACAACATTTGTTGATAAAGATTTTACTTAATTTCCTTTTTAACAGAGATATGATGTTCATCAATATTTCAAAAATGTTGACCGCAAAAATGATGTAAAAGAATCATTGGATCACAACCTCCCACTCATAAGATGGGATGGATTTTCAAGCTATGGTAAATCTGAGGTGGGCAGATATTTTGTGATATAGTTTTTTTATGTCTGTTAAAAGGGTGATGTGATGTATAATTGTGTATGTTTGTGTCTCTTTCATCTGAATCTAACATTCACTTTTTATTTATTATCCTTTTAACAGGCCAGAGTCCATGAGGAATTGTACCGTACCCCACAGTATCCATTTTTACGTCATCAGAGTCTTCAGCCTGTCAGAAAATTGCCCGATGCACTAGTGATTGGAGTAAAGAAAGGTGGAACACGCGCTCTTCTAGAATTTATAAGGCTGCATCCTGATGTTCGAGCTGCTGGATCAGAGATACATTTTTTTGACCGCCATTACCCTAAAGGTTATCACTGGTACAGGTAAAAGCAAATGGTTATTGTATCTTAAAATCAGCTCTTGGTACAAAAAGCCTCCTTGGCATTTTTGTCTCCATATTTTCTTTTATATTCTACAGGAAACATATGCCACCAACTCTTGAAGGGCAAATAACAATAGAAAAAACCCCTAGTTATTTTGTCATTAGAGAAGTCCCACAGAGAGTCTATGAAATGAACCCAGCCATGAAAATTCTTGTTGTTGTGAGAGATCCTGTTACCAGAGCAATTTCTGATTATACTCAAGTTGTGAGGTAAGACTTGTAAGAGAATAGTATTATTAGCAATCAAACTATAAATTAACCAATTGCTTTGTGTGTAGCAAAAATACTACCATACCTAAGTTTGAAGACCTGGCGTTTAAAAATGGATCACAATTTGGATTGGTTGACACTACATGGATACCCATCAGAATTGGTGTGTATGTCAGACATCTTGAACGCTGGTTGCATTATTTCCCATTGAAACAGATTCACTTCGTGAGTGGTGAAAGATTAATTGTGGATCCAGCTGCAGAGATTGCAAATGTTCAGGTAGGATCGAGTAAAATTGATTTAAAAACATTTAATTTTTAAACAATTGTAAATGCTAAATTTCATGATGTTCCAATCTCTTAGGACTTTTTAGGCTTGAAGCGTGTCATTACTGAAAAACATTTCTATTTCAATACGACCAAAGGCTTTCATTGCCTAAAGAAATCAGAAGGCCACTCTAGTCCCCACTGTCTTGGAAAAACCAAAGGCCGGAACCATCCACCAATTGATTCAGCCGCCATAGAACGTCTGCGGGAGTTTTACCGTCCTTTTAATGTAAGATTTTACCAGGTGACTGGTATAAATTTTGGGTGGCCATAAACGCAGCAACAATTATGTGAAGAGTCATTGTCCAAATAAATGGCACATAAATGGTAGAGAGAGTTGTCCAATCTTGTGTGAAGTTTACTTTATTTCAAATAGCCAAAATTATTTGGATGTGGTAAAGAACATCAGTTATTAAAACAGATTGATGTTCTAAAAGATGCCTACTTAAAAATATTTACTATGATACAAGTGATTTAATATAAAACACCACATGATAATGTCCATGCAAATCAATCAAAATTCCTTATTTACTGTACAAAATTGCAAAATTATTTACATTATAATATCACATGTGTTAACACAACGTGTTAACTTAAAATATACAGGAGAACCATTTAAATCTGATAATTACAATAATTTCCTT